AAACATTCAGCAATCGATATTCCATCGCAAAGGCATCAGGATTTTATTGAGTTAACAGAATTTTTATAAATACAAAAATTATTTATATTAAGATAAAAAATATTTATTTAAGAAGTAAAAAATATGTTAAAAAGAATAATTTAAAAAACCTTTTGCCAATCTCATTTTTTGCACAGTTATGAATAATTTACTTTTTTGATTGAAATGCTATTCCTTTCTGTTTTATTTTGAACACAACTTTAACTCCAACATTGTATGATGTTAAAAAAAAAAAGAGAAATTAAAATAACACTAAAAATCACCATGCAAGCCAAAGGCTCCAAGCACGGAAGAAAGTGAGATTAGGGAGAAGAGTTGCCTGTTATGTTACCAATCTGTATTTTCTACTTGACAATGACTTATAAGCCTATATTGAGCACACAAGTCAGCAAATGTATGTAATTTCAATAAATCAATAAATCAATCAATTATGTTACCATTCCACTATCTTTCTCTTTTGCAACCCCTCTGTTTCTGACCATTTAAAAGCCATTGTCGTAACTCTCTAATTGAAAGTTAGATACCAGGAAATCTAGTTGAAACTAACTCATGTGACATCTAATCTTAGCATTTCCTGTAATCGAAATTCCGGGCAATAATTTGCCACATTATTACTTAGGCTAACTATTGATTTCAAAACAATGATATTATTTTCTCGGTACAAAAAAAAAATCAAAAAAAGTAAAAAAAAAAAAAAAAAAAAAAAAAAAAAACGTAAATTTAAAAAATAAATAAATAAAATAGAGTATTATGCTATTATTTACAAGTAAATCTATGACACGATTCCTTAAACAAAGAATGGTATGGATAAATATGACCAAAGTGCATTTACATAAAATATGCCACTCGTATATACCTTTTCGAAATATTTGCTTAATCATATCGATAATGTATATATAGTATATCGATAAAGTATATTATAAAGTGTAATATACTGAGAAAAAAATAACGTCAAAGCTACCAGAATACGGTAAAATTTACCGTGTTTTATAGAAAAAGCTTGGTAATTTTATCGAGGTGCTCGGTAATGACTTTGGTAAAATTGAGAATCAAATACATTTTTTTTTAATGTGTGATAAAATTCGGTAAATGAGGTGAAATTAGGTAATTTTATCGTAATACCTTACATCATGGCGTAGAAACTATTTATTCGGGAAAATATACCCGTTCGTTTCATGTTATTCACTAAATGTATGGTAATAAGAACTATAATTTATTTTCCAGTGAAGCCTATTACCTCTTCGAAGCCTATGCTTAATCATATCTATAAAGTATGCATATTATATATAGTGTATAGATAAGGTATACAGTAAAGTATTCACTAAATGTATGGTAATTAATAAGAACTATAATTTATTTTCCGGTTAAGCGTTATCATTTAAACGTAAAAACCACCAAAAGAATGGTTCATATACCGTATAGTTTGGTCTTATTAGCCAGGATTAAGGTTTTTTTAAGTCATTACCATACTGTTCTGCAATTTTGCTAGAAATTTATTCTCCGTGCAGTCGATAAAGTGCGTACAATATAAAGTAGATTAAAGTATGTAGCAAAAGTATATCACGACTTAGAAACAATTATCGGCCAACGGCTGCAGAAACAATAAATGCAATTGCTTTCAGATTTTAGAACTTGCGGTTGTTTTATGGTATATTTTTCCTTCGTGATTCATAAAGTAACAAAGCAGATAATTAAAATTTTCGAAATCCGATGTTCAATATCCAGGCAATTTATGACGAAAACACGTTTTATCTTTTACAAAACTTGTAAAAATAGCTTTGAAAAGCCTATTGTTTAATATACTGTTATTATTACTATTATTATTACTATAACTATTACTCAACCTCCTACCTCTTAGTATCAGGTTCAAATCAAAAGCGATTGAAATACGATCGCCACTCTTTGCAGGAAGAAAACATTATTATTGATTTATTGAAAATGATCTTTATTGAAAATAAAGTCATTCGATAACAAAATAATAAGCTAAAAATAATTTTACGAAAGATAAAACATAAAGGTTGTTACATATTTAAGGCAAACTTAAATGGAATTAAATTATTATGCCAATATGTTAGTAGCTGTTACAGAAGAGATATCTGTTCTTAAAATTTGATTTCCGCTTGTATACGTCGACATGAAAAAGAAGTTAAGGGTTAAAAATATTCGAAGATTAATTATAAATGTAAGAAATTAAAATCTAGGATATGTGCAATGCATGTGGCAAAGATACTACTTTTATAAAATCGATGACAAAAATATTTTCCAACGGTTCATCAAGCGAGTTTAATATGCGAAATTGCGCAAAACGTAGGTCCTAGGTTCATATCTCGAATAATCACTTCACAACACATCTTATATCGGCAAGATCATTTTGTCGACTGATAATATCGGCGATAACTCACTTTACCAGCACGATTACTAACCCGACAAACAACTCGCTTACAATATTGTTGGNGCGTTCATATCTCGAATAATCACTTCACAACACATCTTATATCGGAAAGATCATTTTGTCGACTGATAATATCGGCGATAACTCACTTTACCAGCACGATTATTAACCCGACAAACAATTCGCTTACAATATTGTTGGTAATATGCCATTTTACATTTGACTTATAGAAAAAAAAACTGCGCATTAACCTCTTAACAATCAGTAAATTTTCAAGAAAACGGTCATAAAAGTGTCTAGTTTGCCAAATACACGTATTTGATTAGTGTTGACATCTAGTTTAAAATAAACTAACTATCTACAATTACCTTGAACGAATCCTGGTACTGCCATCTGGTGTTAAATAAGAAATAAAATTTTTTCCGGTCAAAACAAAAGAATTAGTTTTATTCTTATTGGCGCGTTATTTGTGAATTCTCAAGTCCGGAAATTTCACGGGGGCGAGGAATAGAGGGTGGAACCTTACCCCGTCATTTTCACGGGAGCGAGAAGGAAACCCTTTGCCTGTTACACCGGAACTCAGCTGGGCAACGCAAATGCGCCAATTTAGGAATGCCCGACCTGAGTTCGAGCAAGAGAAAGATCAGTTCTTCAACTCCGTGGCTGAACTCATATCGTACAATGCATAATATGTAATTTAAAATCTTCCCGATAGATGGCGATGCATTTATAGATAGAAGTTTGGCTGTTTCATGCCATTTGACGGATTTTTGGAATTTGTCGAAAATTCAAAGAAATCTGAGGGACTTGGAATTCATGACAATTGATGTAAATAATAATATTTTTGTATTAGTTTATTATATTTGTCTTAAAAATTATGTCTTTTGACTTATTTTGTTATAATTTGAGCAAAAATTACTGTTAGCCATTAATATTTCTCGTATATTTGAACTATGGAATATATATAGTAGTCAACTCGCTTATAAAAATTTCTGTAAAATAATCTATTTCTAACATTTGATACTGAATAAAATTGCAGAGAATTTTTTTTCTCCATTTTTGGCATGTTTTTGTCAAATGAATTAAATTGGGATTAACGAGTAGTAAATTTTTGGAACTTTTTTTTAAGATAATTAATTTTACCCCATTCACTGGAGTTCATTCACTAAGTTTCATATTGGAAATCATCAGAAAATTACGTTTACCTTGCTTTTTTTTCTTTTCAAAGTATGGTATTTGATATTTTCTAACAGATGCTGTAAATTGTTCAAGCTGAAGGTAATGTAAATATTTAGTAAACAAACACATTACCTGCGTTTACACAATATATTATTTTTATTGTGAAGTAAGCAACAACCATTTCTGTAAGAAAAAAGCACCCGTTGTGAAATATCCAAATAACCTGACTTCTTAAAGCATTAAAAAATATCAGAAAAGTATATGAAGCAGCATTACATTATCAATATAAGTTACAAAGTAACTCTCAACAATACATTGTTCTTTACTTTAGAGACTTACACAATCAGAATTCCAAAAAGATTTCGAGGGTTTAAGTCTAATGGATCTATAATCTTTAGTTAGAGAGCCAGACAAAAACTACTTTAGAGTTTGATAGGAGAAATACCACCCACTGGGATTTAGTTTCCCTGACTATTTTCTTTCTTACTGACGTCACTTCGTTAAGATCCAATCAAGATCTAAAGTGGTGGAACTTTAAAATGCAAACAAATCGCTAAAGGAAGGTAGCAAAAATAACAAGTTTCAAACAATCGGAAATAACTTTTTTATTTCTTCCAAATCGGATTTTCTTTGCGAAGAATGTCAAAATATATTCAGTTAGGAATGACAGTAGATCTTGCGTATTTTGCCTTTCACCTATTAAATTACAGTTTCTTCTTTCTGCATTCTGTCACATGCACACTTTTTTGATAGTTATTTAAATATTTTATTCATTTATTCGATTCCTACTATTAGTTCATACTCCCCTTATGTACATTTATATATCCCTACTATTAGTTCACAAAAACAAAGAGATCTCGGCTGTCCAGACTCCTTTCCCGGCGTTTAGAAAACAATATGATCGTCAACACGGTGAAAGCAACCTACCAAACCTTTTCATTATGTCACCAACCATTACAACTACATATATCGTATAACAATGTAGCCCTACCGTGTAGTGAGAGTACTAAGTACTTAGGAGTAATTTTCGATCGTAAACTCACTTGGAAATTATATATTGATGACATCAAGCAATGGTCTGAGAAGCGTATGATACTCCTTAAACACCTCGCAGGAGATAAGTGGGGCTGTGCTACCACAACTCTACTTGATACCTAAAAGACTTTTATAAAACCTGTCATGACTTACTGTAACGCTCCTCTTATTACAGTATCTGAGGGAGGTATTAATAGACAGGAACGACAGCAAAATAATGCACTTCGTCTTGTCACCGGTGGTGTCAAGACCACACCCATTGACGCACTTCTGCTGTATACCAATGAATTACCTATACAATATGAAATAAAGAAATCAGCTCTATCAGAAACTAATTCGCCTACATCATAGCGTTATGTTGACCAAGTCTGAATCTCGTTGGCTGAAGACTCAGGACGGCTACCTTCAAGCTGTATTAAAAGTGATGGATGAATTTGATATACCTTCCCGGATTAAACTTTTGCTTCCACCCTTAAACCCTATGGAAGCTAGAAAAATATTATATCACCTAGACCTTATGTGTCCTATCTTAAAAGCCCAGGATTGTATAGCAGATTTGTTCAGCGCGGGGATGGAGACTATCCACAATCGTTTTCCTCTTGAAGAATGGTTGCACATATATACAGATGGCTCAAAGCTTGAGATGGATGGTGTTGCCGGTGCTGGTATTTTTTGTGAGCATTTCTCCCACTATCTTTCGTTGGGAACAGCCAAGACCGCTTTTGATGGTGAGGTTGAGGCAATCAAAGTAGCTTTAACTCATTTAAATACCCATCCTTCTCTTTTCGATAAAGCTGTCAGCTTCTCGGATTCCCAAGCTGCGATTCTGGCCATTGCCAACTACTCTCAAGCCCCTGGCTCTTTGTCCATTGTGAAATGTAGATCTTTAATGGCAGAGATAGGTGAAAAATATAAAACAATTGCCTTACAATGGATCCCATCCCACTGTGGTATCCCCGGCAACGAAAAAGCTGATGTACTGGCCAAAAAAGGTTGCCTTGTTAAGCCTTGTCGCCTTGTTAAGCCAAGCCCCAAATAACTTGGTTAGCTATAAATCCTCTTCGTTAATGATTAATCATGCAATTAAGACAACACATATATCATTGCTAAAAGAACGGACAAGAGAAAAATCGTGGGGAAATGACATCCTTAATCTCCCCGATTTGCCCAAGAAGCAGTGCTGTAGCAGCCTTTCGTCCTGCTACCAAGCACGATTACGCCCATCTATACGCCCATCTTTTCCGTCTCAAAATAGTGTATAATCCTGCCTGCCCCCTCTACCACAGTGGTGCGACGATGAATGCTGAATATCTTCTCAACTGTTCAGTTCTCACAAAGAACTGCATCTACTCCCGATACTGGGAGGCCAGAGAACTTTTGTTCAATTTAAGTTCTTGATTCAATTTTTGTGCTTGATGTTTTGCATTTGTTTTTGTATTTTGTATATTTCATATCTTTCTGTATTTGTATTTTTCTTTTCTTTTGATCTCTGCACGGCGTTAGGATAATGTCTATGTCGCCTGCTGCATTGGAAATAAAAAAACCTATTAGTTCAGACTCCCCCTATGCACATTTATATATCCCTACACTCCCCCTATGTGCATTTATATATCCCTACACTCCTCCTATGTGCATTTATATATCCCTACACTCCCCCTATGTACATTTATGTATCCCTACATCTCCCCCTATGTACATTTATATATCCCTACTCTCCCCCTATGTACATTTATATAGTCCTACTATTAGTTCACACTACCCTATGTACATTTATATATCCCTACTATTAGTTCACGCTTTGTATGTTTATATCTTGTTCAAATTTCAATCGTTAAAAAAATTCTTTTTTATCATCCACTCCAGTTCAAATACATTTTTCCAAACTTTTTGTAAATGACACTTGATGTTAATACAGTTTTTTTCAAATATTAATTCGCTAATTAATTTTAATTAATTAATTTGAGTTTTATATGAGAGAAATTTTTTTTATTATGTTAGTTGGCAGGATATAAATTTAGGAATAAATACCGTTATAGACGAAGCGTGTTATCTACACGCTGGAAAAGAATTTTTTTTTCAGATTCATTTTTTCATTCTGGATTGGAATAAAAATGGAAAAAAATGGAGAAAAAAAACATGCGAAAAAATTAGTGAGAGAGATGGAAAGTGTGTATTTGAGGGAAATTATTATAGACCGCCATCAGCTTCCTAAATTAGATACAAAAAAAATAGAAAGCGAATAAATGGCAACAAACAAAAGTAATAGTCGAACACTATCTATAGAAGGGAAAATTGAAATTTTCAAGGAAATTCGCTTTCTGTTTTGCCACTTAATATTGTGATTCTGTCACATGTATATACATATTTATGTTATTTCTAATTATTTAATAAAAAAGTAACTAAAATAAAATTTTTCTTTGCTGACCTAAGTAGGAATTGACTATAATTTTTTTAAATATAATTTTATTTTATTTTAATTCAGTAAAAACGCGCATTCAAGTAATTAAATTGAGATGTCAAGTGAAGGTATTGAATACCGCATTATAAATGTTTAGGTATCATAAAAAAATGCTGGTATAGAACAGTTTTTCATTGTTGTCAACACATTTCGTATTATTCGGAAAACTCCTTACCTTGATTCAGTTTCCTCCCATTAAATTTCCAACATTTGTATAAATCTAATAAAGTCATAAAAGTTTTCTTACAAAATATATTTATATCCCTAATTTAAAAGTTTATATTTGTAATATTTATTTCTTTTATTCCACTCTGCTATTATTACGTTTTTGATTTCTAATATAAGGTTTGTTCTAGCTCTATTTTGTTCTAATTTAAAGGAGCACATTTGTTCTATTTATTTTTCTTATTTTACTTTGCAATTATTACGCTTTTAAATTTTAATGTAAGGTTCGTTTTAATTCCATTTTGTTCTATTTTAAAAGTCCACAACTGTTCTGTTTATTTTTCTTATTCTACTCAGATATTATTACGTTTTTGATTTCTAACATAAGGTTCGTTCTAATTCTATTTTGTTCTAGTTTAAAATTTTACATCTGTTCTATTAATTTTTCTTACTCTTTTCTGATATTATTACGTTTTTGATTTCTTATATAAGGTTCGTTCTAATTCTATTTTGTTCTAATTTAAAGGTTCAGATCTGTTCGATTTATTTTTCTTATTCTACTTTGCTATTATTAGGTTTTTGATTTCTAATATAAGATTCGTTCAAATTCTATTTCGTTCGAATTTAAAGGATCACATCTGTTCTATTTATTTTTCTTGTTCCACTCTACTATTATTATGTTTTTGATTGTGATTGCTTCCTATATTTAGTGTTGAAAATTGAAGGAAGTGTTCCTGTGTCATAACTTCATTTGAAAAAATTACCTTATTACACTGCATTAAGATAAACTTATTCTAGTCTGCTTCTAAACTTATTAACCATTTCACAAACAATATTTTTGGTACAAATTACATTAATAGGCTGTAATATATACAGTTGTAGTAATTCACAAAACGATTGAAAGCGTAATGACCAGCTTCATACGCAATGTGATTCATACACAACTAGTATTTAATATATGTTTGGTAAACAAAAATATTAAATTAAAGATGTGAACTAATCAACATTTGTTATTTAACAATATACATTTAATTTTATATGTAATTTTAAGAAATGATTGCTAAGCAAAATTATTTACGTCCACAAACAGATCTCAATAGAAACCACAAGGGAGATGGAAAATGGGATTTAATAGTAAGCAGAATAAATTCTTTTTAAGTAATTTATTACTTAAATTTATCCTCAGCAACAATAATTATTACAAAACAGACATCGGGGTGTGTTAACGTCAACACACAGGTGTTTAGCGTACTAGAAATATGTAAAATTTTCAATGATATATAACAAAATGTATAACATAATTGCGTAGTAAAATATAAACAAACTGTGTGCAATTATTGTGAAAATTGTAGTGCAATGCATAACATAATTACAACAAATTTTGGAGACTTTTCAACTTAAGTGCCTGATATACATATTTAAAATTGTTTTGATCTACAAAATAGCCAATGAAAATCTATTAAAAAAAGCCGAAGTCGAAAGTAATAGAATATGAAATTTTGAAGAGCAGAGCTAGCTTTGTTACATTTTACGAATTCTGACTAACAAGATATTAACTGTGCTTTTACTTTGGCACCTGATGGAAAAGGTTCAAGAAGAAGACCTGCATTGACATAAATAAAAGTGTTTTTGAATGACTATCGGAGGGTAGGCATATCTGGATGCCTACCCGGATTCCAAAGGAGCAATTGGAAATAAATAGATGCTGAAGTTCTACCTCAAGTTCGAAAAATTTCAGTTCTGATGAAATGAAGGTTGTAATATGGTTTGTGTGTTATTTTATTTAATTTTTTAACCGTCGTTGAACAGCCTACCCAATTTTGGGTTTACGGTTACTAATGATCAACTCCGTACCCTTGCAATTTTGAAATCAATCCAGAAGACAAGGGAACTCCTGGACCAAGTATTGGGGAAAATTTGCATTCGTGGAGGACTTTTTGATGCAATTAACCCGGATTTGCGCTACATGGAGAGGAAAATCACGAACACCTACAGCGGTTAGCCTACCGGCAACGAGAGGCAAACCCGTGATCCGTCTACCACTGAGGATATTTAAGTCAGTCATTAAGTTTAAGTCAGTCTGTGGTTGGTGCGAACCGGGTGCGGAAGTCGAATCGACCAGCTATCGATCACTATCGATAGCATCACTAAACAGTGATACCATGATCTAAATTTATTTTTATGGAATTTAAAATATTAACAAATAATGGGGGCAGTAGTGGTGTTGTTTGTTAAAAACCAATACTTACAAGATTATACTATATTACAAGAATATAACTCATGTTTTTCATAAAAATAAACTAGAATAAGCGAAATGTTGTTTCTACAATCTCAATTTTAAAAAAAACAACAACACTGAAATCTCTCACTCATCGAATAACCATAACTTAATTGCATCACTAAACAATAATGCAATTTTGTCTACTTACGTAATGTCAGAACAAATACGTTCACATTATAGCAATCATTTGGAGATTATTTCTCTAAATGGTAAATAATATGCCATCTTCATCAAAGCAGTCTTGAGTACCACTTTCCATAATGAGCTATTTTCTCCAATAATATGACACCATCTCAAGGAAATGGGAATTAATTGCTACAGCATTTCTATGAATGGGATAAGAACTCTTATTTTGGTACCATGGCAATATATCCATTATCCTAAACGATACTATCATATGACATTTGGCTATCATATTATATGATAGATACATCTTATCATTATATTCCTTTCAAGTCAACAAGGTGCTTTCCATAATTCATAATCTTAATAAATATATATATAGTAAACAACGCGAATAGTAAATAGAAGCTATAGCGACGTCTATATGGCCTCTAAATGTTAATCAAAAATATGTCACGTGCCTTATTATTATTTCTTTCTTTGTTTCAACAGGTATGTATAAGAGATAAGTTTCTCAGGTTTGGGAAATAAATTTAGGAAATTATTTTATATAAATTTAATCTTGGAAAATAGGATGCGGTGTATATGAATTACTTATGTAATAAATAATTTCCCGAAATGTAGCTTTACAGTTATTATTGAATAACGCTTTATAAAGACACGGACAAAAGAAAATAATTTAAAATAATAGACTAAGAATGAATATAATTAATTATACTATTTTTATGTTAATTTTGAATAGTTTATAATCCTTGATTGAAAATTTTTGTATGATTCGGGAAAATTTTAGGTAATTGAGAAACATATTCTTGCTTCTGATAAGGAAAATATAATAAAGCAATGATTATACCAAGTCGCATTTCGGCTGGCAGTTTTTCATCACATTTCACCAGTTTTACACGTACGTTCTGAGATGAAACAGTTTTATATGTTCTTAGAACACATATTGAAATTTACCAGTTTATGAAAAATTTATAAACTATTTAAAACATTTAGAAAAAAATTTCAAAAA